CCCCAAAACCCCAAAACCCCAAAACCCCGTATGCGAGTTATTAAATCAAACTTTGAATAATTAGTATATTGAATTCAAATTTTCTAGCAGGATTGATTATAACTCATTATTGGTATCTTGAAGTTGATCTTTCTTACTCATCCTATCTCTTCTTTTCTCTTTCAGCCTATAATAGATAAGTTAAGATAATATATTACGATTAGTTTTTCAAGTATCAGTTTATTTTTCCTAATGCCTTATTCCTCTTCTGCTAGCTTTATAGTTTCAAATATCTGCTTCGTATCTAGCATCTTTGGACTATACTCATTAGAGTACTTTTTCCTGGCTTCGATACTTGGAAATCTGTCTATTACATTACTCACACTAAGTTTATTAGCTTCTACATACTTATCTAGAAAAGTCAATGGTTTTCCATTTTTATTTAAGTTGCTAAACCCACTTCCACTGCCATTATTTCTTGAAGTGATATTCTAAGAATATCTATTAAAACTTGATGTGCTTTGGCTCTGAGGTAGTTGAGTAGTAGTTCTATCTCTTAGATAGCGATCTATCTTATCTTCAGCAATCATTCTCTTGCGCATAAATTCTCTTTAAAACTATTAAACATCCATGCCAGAGCTGCTTTCACGTGGTGTTATGCTTAATTAATGAATAGACGAACGATTAGGATTGGATGCATTTATATGTGACTTATTGTGAATAAAAATGTTGCTAGATTATGTTTCAGATACACCATAACCTGCTTTAAGCATGAGCAACTAAATTTTAATGGTTAAGTCCTCAAGCAGTAATCCATGTCTAATTAATTCTTTGATTTCAAAAGTAGCAGTGAGATCATGAGTAAACCCAGTATCAACAATACATTTAAGCAAGTTCTAGAACTATCCCTCTGTCAATGGGAGTTGACCATGCTCAGGTAAATTTACCTTTACAAAGCTTTAGATAATTGACATTTATTATGAGGTATTTTTTAGAAGTTTTTTCTTCAATGCCTCAAGTATACGAGTGTTTTTGACATACCTCTTTAATTTGCTTTACTGATGAAAATCAATTTTAGTATTGTGGACTCCACTAAGTTGTGTCAAAATGCTCTCATCTGGATTTTATTGAATGATCATTTCTGATGGCACAGCCTTGAATACATCATTCTTGAAGGCTAGAGGAGGTATTTTTAGATCTTTGTTGTTGTAAAATGTGGATGTCAGTTTTTTATCTTCAGTTTTATTCGAGATTAGGACTAAGCTGTTTCGAGTTCTTTGAGTTAGAGCTCCTATTCCAGATTGTGCTTTATGAGCCAAGGCTTCATTAACGTCTTAGACAACTGGCTTAACTCTTAATTGCTCATAAACAGTCATATGATCTCTCATATTTTCAATCTTATTTTGAAATCGCTTTTATTATCTATCCAACGATCTCAATTTATCAATTGATCTGAGAACGTAAGGGTCTTTTGGTTTATCAAACATATTAATTTTCTTCTTTTTCCCTGTATTTATTGGTAGATATTCTCGAAGTTCATCTAAGATATCATCAACATGCCTTAACTTATCGAATTTGTAGGGTATCTAAGCAGTAAGCTAAGCAAGTTTATTTTTTTTATCATCTTCTGGATTTTAGCCTTCTCTTTACTCAGCATCTTAGTCCTGCAAATTTACTGCAACTGTCTCTCCATTCTACTCAAAATTAGGATCTTTAATCTCATTTTATAACTCCTCATTAATATCCATAATCTATTAGAGAGGGTTCATAGCTGTAGCCATACTACTGTTCATCATGAATTATGATTAAGTTTTATCCTGTTAGTTAAGATCTTATTGATTCATTATTTTCTATTATCTCTGAGTATTGTGATGACCCTAGATATTAATCTTTTTATAATTTTTGCCAATAGTACTTTGCTATTAAGTACCTCTCCATTATGATGGGGTAGATAAAGTAACTCCTGCTATCTCTCGGTAAATAGGGGCTAAACTTTGTTGATTATTCTCGTATTGTTCACCTTCATCAGCATTCGAATCGTTTTTGTTTTCTTAATCGGGCAGTTTATCCATATTTTCTGTAATAATTTAGGGAGTAGCTTGTTCATTTTTGGTAATAGATTTGGAGGATTTATTGAAACTCTTCTATGAGGCTGAATGCTCAGACTTTTTCATTTATTTCTAGCTAAAATATACTTTGAATTTAGTTCTATTAATTTATATAAAATTTCCTTATTATTATTCCCTATTTTCAATAGTGGGGTTTTGGGGTTTTGGGGAGATCGGAAGAGCGTC